TGAGCTGTAATGCCACAGCACTCTACCCAGGGGGACAGCTTGAGGCTCTGTCTCAAAAAAAAAAAAAAAAAAGATAGTTAATTCTTTCAGGCATGGTAGCTCACACCTGTAATCCCAGTACTTTGGGAGGCTGAGGTGGGAGGATCACTTGAGGCCAGGAGTTTAAGACCAGCTTGAGCAATAGTGAAACCCCATCTTTACAAAAATAGATGAATAAAAATTAGTTGGGGGTAGTGGTATGTGCTTGTAGTCCCAGCTACTTGGGAGGCTAAGGCAGGAGGATTGCTTGAGCCCAGGAGTTTAAGGTTGCAGTGAGCTATGATGACACCACTGCACTCTAGCCTGGGCAATACAGCAAGACCCTATCTCAAAAAAGAAAAAGGGTAGTTGTTAATATTTCCTAAAATTCAGACCCAAATTTTTTCTGAAGAAAGGAACTTAATAAGGGAAGAAATTATTTTTCAGCACACGTGAATTATGCTAGGATCTTAGAACTTGGAAATGTTTACCCTGGACACTAGATACTAAGAAAATAAGATTGGTAATTTTTGAAGTAATAGCAAAACTATAAAGAAAAGGAATTTTCTTTCAGCAGTTTTGCATTCTGCAACTACAGCACCTACAATCCCAGAAGGAAGCACCTTGTTTATTAACAAGAACCACATCCAGTTTAATTTCTGAGGCTGAAATGAAATGGCCTAGTGGCTTTTGTCCATTAAATTAAAATTGTTTCATTAATATAGAATTGCGAATGATATTTTAAAATATGAAAGAAACCACACACAGTTGAGTAGATGCCCCTGTTAGTTCTCAGAACATTGAGGAGGGAAAACGGCCCTCCAAGCTGTCCGTCCACCGTAGTGTTCAGGGTAAATTCAGACTGTAGAACACATTTCTAGACTTGGCTTTTCTGTTACTGAGTATGGGTTAAAATCCAAAATTTCCCTAAGAAGTGGAAAACCAAGGAAAATATTAGAAAAATAGATAGGAATTATATTTGGCATAACACAAAAATACTTTGAAATATTTACTATAACATGTTTAAATGTGAGCCACAAGGTGTGTGCTTTCAATGATGATGAGAAGTCTAAGTTGCTGCACCCCAGCAGGGGACATTCTCCAGTGGTTAACAGCTTAGTTATAAACTCTGTAAGTTAAACTGTAAGGACAGTTGGTTTAAAGAATTCTGAGCTGGCTGATTCGTCCTCTGTATTCAGACTGGAGCCATCTATATGCTGCTGTGACTTTATGAGGTACAGTTTCCCTTGGTCCTTATTCCACAAACCTCAGTGAGGGAAAGCACCTATCTCCGCCTTACCTGCTGACTTCCTTTCCTACCTGTCCTGTTACTGGGTGTCACTTCAATTTTTAACTCTGTTATTCTACAATGATCTTCCTTTCCCTTCTTTTTTGACAAGACCTATCTCCATTTGGTCTTTTTTTCTTTTCTTTTCTTTCTTTTTTTTTTTTTTGAGACAGTCTCACTCTGTTGCCCTCTGTAGAGTGCCGTGGCATCAGTCACAGCTCACAGCAACCTCAAACTCTTGGACTCAAGTGATTCTCTTGCCTCAGTCTCCCTAGTAGCTGGGACTACAGGTGCCTGCCACAATGCCTGGCTATTTTGTTTGTTTGTTTGTTTGTTTAGCAGGCCTGGTCTGGGTTCAAACCTACCAGCCCTGGTGCATGTGGACAGCACCCTAACCACTGGGCTGCAGGTGCCCAGCCCACTTGGTGTGTTTTCATCTCCTTTTCTGTAACTCTCTTTCCCCTGCTCTGCACTGTGTGGTGGCCTTGCTGTCTATCTGTCAGTGTCGACTGAGGTCTGTAACAGAGCCTACAGAGTTAGCAGCTGGGGCTCACCTACCACCAGGTGTGAAAATGAATCAGCAATGGCATACAGCTGTAGCTTTAGGGGATTTCTGGCACAGTGATAATAAAAGTTCAAGTGTGGCCAGGTGCAGTGGCTCATGCCTGTAATCTTAACACTGTGAGAGGCTGAAGTAGGTGAGTTGCTTGAACTGAGGAGTTCAAGACTACCCTGAGCAAGAGTGAGACTCCATCTCTACTAAAAATAGAAAAATTAGCCATGTATTGTGGCACGCCCCTGTATTTCCAGCTGCTTGGGAGACTGAGGCAAGAGGGTCCCTTGAGCCCTAGAGTTTGAGGTTGCTGTGAGGTATGATGCCACGGCACTCTACCCAGGGCAATAGAGTGAGACTTTGTCTCCAAAATAAAAAAAAAAGTTTAAGTGTGATGAGTGTTAGTTTATTTGAAACAGACTTCTGCAAGTTAATGTACATTTAGGACTGTAAGCATTGAACTATACTTAAAATATATTTCTTAAAAAGAACACAAAAGTTAAAAATCAATTTTAGCATGAGTTTACTGAGGTACCTAACTTTAGAAAGTTTATAATGCATCTTTTAATCTAGTATAAGATTCTAATTCTCTTTCCTTTTTTAGAACACATTTAGATCTACTGTCAGATATTCATGTTTTAACACAAAGAAGAAAGTTCATGATTAATATTCGAAAAGAGAAAATTAACATATTTGGATTCAATAGAAAAATACTTTTACTCTGATTCTTAATTTGTCTAAAAGTTCAAACAGAAGCATGCAGCACTCTTTCTCTGTTTGGAAATCAAGCCATAGGAATGAGCCCTATTCTTCAGAGAAAATCATCTCACCCTTCTTGTCCTGTTCCTCTTTTTCTTTCATCTGTTACCAGTATCATCTCTGCAGGCTCCTTTCTAAAGCCAGGAGCAGGGCAGAGAGTCGCCTGCACCTGCCGCTCACTGGCTGAGAGGCTGTCTCAGTCAGAGGGTGCCATATCTGTGGTCTGTACCCTGTTAATGCAGAAAGTCTGCAAAAGCCCAACATGGATAGGAAGAATTTTCTTACCGTACTATTTTGTGAGGAGTCACCGAGGGTCCGACAAGGGAGACATGGAAAAAAAAAAAAAAAGATTAGATGCTTTTAAAGAATAAAGTTCTATTAGATTTCTTCAACCTCACAGTTGTATTCAAATTTCAGTAACAGGATTACAATTTTAGCAACATGTACCCTTTTTTCTTTTATTAAAAAAAGATCAAGTAATTTTTTTTTTTTTTTTTTT